GAACAGAACTTGTAACAATATGGGTATGGAGTGAGCATGGGTAATATGTTAACGAAATGTTGGGTGATTCCACAAGACAATGCTGCCCAATCTTGCTGATAACACCTATTTTCGTTGTTACCAACTCAATGCACCTTGTTTCTGAAATGAACAAAGCAAAACAGCAAAGATTGACGCAAACTGCATAGACGCCTTTATTCGACTTTAAAGATTTAGTCTGGACCCTTTTATTACATGGATATTAGAAGATCAGGGCCTATGATAAGCAATGCTTGTTGTGTGGGCAATGACTGCACTGTTTGAATCTGGGTCAATGGCAGAGTTTTGTAGCGAAACCTTTACGTGCCAAAATACTCCGAACAGTTCGTCCTGCCCTCTAACATCACCTAAAGTTAAGCACGGCTGTTATCACGTGCAGACGAACATTCCAGTCGATGGCAAACGGCAAGTGCATAAAGTGACTCAAGTCCAGCCCGTCACGGCTGGGTGAATTGGAAGGCGGACTTACTTACTCAAAACTAACCGAAACCGACTGGGAGACCTACAAAGCAGCGTAGGTACCTGCGATATCGGCACGACCAAGGCGGCTCCGAAAACTTCTCCATAATTTAGAGATCAAGGATCAAAGAAAGCAAACAGGCGGGGGACCTGTGGGCAGAACTGATTAGGAATGGATAACGGATGGGTGCGGACTAGAGGACTTCACGGATTGGGTAAACCCATAGGTGCCCATAGAACATACCACATTACGACTGACGGGCGGGCGCCACGGCGGTCTGCACTGGTACTGGTGGGAGCGAGCGATAAAACGTACCTTACCTTGAAAAGACATTGAACCCGTCATCCCTTTTTATCAAGGGGCGTGACGCATATCGTCGCGCACCCTTTCATGACGCGCCAGCGACTACCGAGGCTAGGTTAGCGCTCAGGGACTATGGCACAATCACCTGAAAAACACATTTAATCCATTATCAAGAACCCAAACTACACAAATAGCTCAGGGTAAATTCAGATGTTACAAAATCGTCTTTAACAGGAATGATTAAAACAAAAAGTTCCTCTAAAACGGAATGCACCACATTTTAATATATTTAAGCAAGGACCAGATACGATAGAATGACTATATAACAATTAATCAATGTGTATGCATAATTGCATATATATATATATATATATATATATATATATACAGGTATTCACACATCGAATTACGTAACACCTATAACTACTGATATACAGTTAAGTGGAAAAGGCTGCTCTAGGCGACACAATATCCCTGTTTAGTAAATATCTTCCTCAACACGTCATTGTTTGATTACACCATCGCACCGTACAAAGCATTTATTGAAATAAATTGATGGTTGTTATGTTTGGGAATCGTGCTTACGAAAGCCAGATATGATTGACTCAACAATCAAATTTTGATTGGCCTTGATCATCGCATGGCCATCGCACGCAGACAAGACTTGTCACTGAAAAGCTTAGAAATAGTGCTCCGCGTTTGCATGTGGTTTCGATCTGGAATAGCCATCTTAAATATCATTCGGTGAAGTTTATGGGGCTGCCATTCTTAAAAACCCAGCCATGTGACGTACTCTAAGAAAATCAGTATTTCAGCAGGTGGCAGTAAAGGTGGCCTTACTTAGATATAGGTGACGCTACTAGCTCGCGGGTTGTCAGCGTCGCGGTATCTTCGGAATTCGAATCTGACATGATGTTCATCACCTGGCTTGCACTTGATTCCTCGTCGCTGGAATTACTTTCCGCTACGAATGATGAAGAATGGAGGTGGTTCCTTTTAAAACAATGAGTGAGACAGTGGAATTCTAGGTTCAATCCGACCCCAATCCTACATTTGCGTTCATTTCGGGGAAGTGTTATAAACTGGTATACATGCTCAGTACAAGCCATATTAGAAGCATGTTGCGTACATTGTTTGGTTCTTTGGAGTAGAGCCCTTTTGGCCAGAAATGATCATTTCAGTGCTATGGGATGTAGGAAAATGGTTAACGGTGGGGCAGACGTGCATGCGCCTGGGGGCCAACCGCCGAGCTTTTACCCGCGTATGTGCGCCGGATACCCGGTCGGGGTCCCCCTTTCCACAGGGCTCTCGACCCACTCGTGGCTGATCACATGCAACCTGCCTCGGACAAGCGGGGTGTCACAAGGATGCAGGGTGAAGCAAGATAGAGGGATAAGACAGCTGGATAATGAGGTACACTGCGTGCAAGCATACTTCAGTGCCTTCACCTTATGAGCCTCTTCGGCGCGATTTACTAAATTAAGTTGGCCATAGTCCTTAATCATACTAGTTCCGTTCATGTGATGTATTGAAAAACGGAGTAGTGTTTTTTTATATTCAACTGGCCTTCTCAACTGTCCCCCAACATTGAAATGACGTTACCGGTATGTGCAAGACTGGAGGAGTCGACCGGAACTAGCAAGTTAGCTAGAAGAATATCGGGACGATGAGCCGAGCCATCTACCGGTGAATCTCCAAAGTCTCTTTAGGTAATCTTTTCCCAGTGCTTTGCATGAATGGCATGAGCTCAGACCACGCCATAAGCGCAGCTGACTGTCTGCACTTCGACCCCATCGCCCACGCACCTCTGCTCCAGCAGCGCAGCGAATAAATTTGGCTCCGGCATTTTGCCAGACAGGGCCGCTGAGGGATCACTCCCGTGCCATACAATGGTATCGTTATCCCCCTCCCAATGGCTTGATGATCTTGCCGAGTTTGTGGGAATCTGACCACTATGTATATGTTGGGGCATAGAGGGGAGGGGGGCATTGGGGCATATCGCTGTATGGGATTCCGGTTCCGGCCTAATGGACAACTTATTCGTCATCCGATTCCCTCAGTGGTCTGCACGGCCGGCATAGTCAGCATCATTATTATTTATGTTGTATGGCGTGTGCGTAACCACACGCTAGTCAGTTATCTTCAAGGAACGCTGCTGAGGCATTTGAGGGACTGGCGACAGTCCCGACGTGAGACGATCTCCACTATCTCAACCTGACCAGGGGATGATCGATTCACTCCGCGGGATGATCAATCCGATCAGAGGGATGACGAAACTGCCCCGAGGGATGACCAATCCATTGCGAGGAATGACCAGTTTACTCCGCAGGATGATCAATCCGCTCCGAGGATTGATAAATCTGCTCCGAATGATGATTAACCCGCTCCGAAGGATAGCCAGTTCCCTGCGAGGGAGGACCGGTCCAATGTGAGGGGAATGAATGACCAATCCAATGTGAGGGGATGACCAATCCGCTGTGAGTGGTCGCGTGTCCCTGCCGCGTCGGCCCGAGGCCGCGTCCTCTGTTCCTCGGCAGGGACTGCGTGCAGGAGCCCTGTGTCATGCCGTTATGCATCGACCCTCAAGGCTTCTGTGCTCCCCAGGGTAATGTACTGCCGTTCAAGTCCAGTGAATCTACAAGTGAAGACCTCAACGACGAACGCACATTGGGGTGATTGACTGCAAATGTATGCTGCAATGTGGATGTGATTCCAAACCTGTCGGTAGCGTTCCCGCGGCTGGAGGATGCGAGGAGGTAAGGCTAAGATATGCCGGTCTGGTGGTGGCTTTCCCGCACATTTCTAAAGGGTCCAAGGGCATCAACCGCTCTGGTCCGATCTTCTGGCAGCGAAACTCCGGTACAGAGATGTGTGCCGTGTTGTCCATATTAACACGTTTCCAAGACAATTGGAGCGCTTACTCAACTGGCCTTCTCAAACCATATGTGGTGTGCGCCTTGGAGCAAATGCGTGCAACTCGAGCCAGAGCAAAACGTCTCAGAATATCAGTGCTACACGAACCCCTGTACAACATTGATAAATGTCTGTTGTAGAGATGATTCAGCTTACCGTGACATGGAGGCTGCCGACGCGTCTCCTTTGTGTGGTTCTGCGCTGTGATGTACGGCATAGACACCGAGATTCATCGCACTGTTACCGATATGGAACGGCCGCGTGACAACGCCCGCTTCCAGCACTGCCAACCGCTGCTGTCTCTAATTCTAATCTACACAAATGTCGGATTGCTCGGTGCACAAGCAGTACGAGGACGCTACACGTGTAACGCCATATGTTGAATACCTTTTCAAAACAACCTGGGCATAGCTGCTACAGTGGCCATCGCCCCCGCTGCACAAGGAGCTCCTGCTTTTGCTTTTGTTGCGGAGCGTGTATCGTGCCTCATCGCAGTACATGGGTTCGCTGCTGCCAAAGATGCCATCGCTGTGTAATTGCAACGAGCATGTTGTGTGTTTGGGAAGACTTTACTGTACGCTGGCACAAATGACAGCACTGAAATCAGAGGCTGGCAAAAATCTACGCGATTGGTTTATGCTCGGTTAAAGTTCTTGTCGTTGGAAGAGCCTTAACACCGAACAAAATAGTTTTTTGTGACCTTGATCTGTAACCAACAACACCCGGCTTGCTAACAATCGCCGCCGATATTTTGTTCCCGTGGTGTGTTCACGAATTCTCCGCCGTGGGCAACGCCTAGTGGCCTTACAAGCCTTCCAAGAGGACGTTGGTGACCACACCAATCTTTCATCCGCATGCACGCTCGGTATTCGATGACCTGTCGAACCCGCCACCATGATCGCTGCTTCGTGACCTGGCGAAGCCCTGGCAGTGGCCATTTTCTGCAGCCCTGTCTCACCATCCACGTTGAACAATCGTATGCAGTGAGCCAATAACAGGCAAATGGATTCCACGACGGGGAGACATTAACTTAAGGTCAGGTCATCTTCTCGCCGAACCAAGGGAAATGAGAGACCACTGAATGTCCGCTATCCCCAGGAAACTCCTCACAGCAAGGCAGATGAGGCATTAAGCCCAGCGTGGCCGCCTCGTTGTCGGGCGATGGCCAGCCCGCCGTGGACCTGAGCCTGCGCCGTCGGCGGCGGTGGGCTCCGTGAGCAGCGGCGGCCGGCCGCCGGGCCGCGCCGGGCCGGGCCGGTCAGGAGGCGGTGCGGCCAGTCCGACCGGCGCGTCCCGGCTGGAAGGTCGAGCGCCGCCCCACGCACCGGCGGCGGAGGGTGCCTAGGCGACGGCCACGACGGTACCGCCACCAGCCACGGCCGCTGGGAGCAGGTCGGTCGACGCTGGCGCCTTGGCGTCGGGCTGTTGTGTGTGGTACTCGGCAAGCTGTGGTGACTGTCCTAGTCCTATGTACTTAGCGTAAGAATTTCATATCCATGCATGTGATTAGACTCGGCTCTATCGGCACTAAGATGAGAAACAAACATCTGTAATAGTCCATTTCCATTTATGTATTACAACGTATTCGACGACACGTTGTGAAATGAGTCGTTTTCGAAAATTGCGTGGAAGCTGGTGATCATGATCTCCGTGTGCGTGCCCAACTGAGTTAAACGCTAGTGACCTTTCATAACATTGTTACGATTTTAACGGTTTTAGACGATTCTTGCGTCACAAAATGGTTATAGCTGATTACAAGGAAATTTTGCAGCTACTGTGTGATGAGTAAGGGCTGAAACTTGTAATGGAAACTTTCAAACTTTCAGATCCCAGGCGAATGCACCGAACCCTAAATGTTTTCTTAGCTAATCGCTGTACACAATTCGAGTATGTCACAAAGTGCGCCTCACTTTGAAAGAAGAAAGAATCCCTGCGCATACGATGAGATGGTGCTCTAATTTCTCGTCACTCAAAAATAACCTTTCTAAGCGGGGTGGCGCTGACTCGTCGACGGCATTACGCACATTTTGCTCCGTTTTGCGAACCTGTTCGTAGGTTATTATGCCAGAATACTGACTGCCGATATTCAGATCATGACCTTAAAAAATACACTGTACCCAGTCGTCTGCATTTGCTGATTCGCTAACCTGTTCATCGCTCATCAAGTCATAAAATGCACCATCGACACCACACAGCTAGGTTAAATGGGAACCAAGTTTCCACATGTCAATCTTTATGATGTGTGGTACTCACCCGAAGATTGTGTATGAATAACGTATCAGGTTAATGTATGGTCAGATCTTTTAACGATGCCTATCAAGCACAATCCGTCACTGAAAGACACAGGAACAGAGGGAGCGGCTGGGACCCCGGGCCACTCACGTCTCGTAAAGGTTTAATGTTCATCTTCTAGTGAGTCATTCAGTGGTTTGAGTTTAGAACGGGACGTTTACGAAAGAACGCACGCGAGAGGGGTGACTCAGAAGCATCTGAAGGTCAGTTGGGAGCGCCGGGGTCTTTTGCTTGGGCTTAAACATCCGAACTGTACAACGGACACCATATATGTGACCATAGTCACCAATAATGCGAGGAAATTGCAAGATTTGTTTCGCAGAGAACAGTTGCGTTTCGAAATAGGGCTTGTGGCTTTGCACTACTCGGCGAACATTCCACTTACGAGTCCTCCGTGCGGTCATGAAGGCGTATGGTGGTTTGGTGTCGGCATGGTTGGTACGCTAAATATATACCTGGCTCGGAGTTGGATGATAACAGCCAAAAATAATAAGTACAGCACACAGAATTGCTGTTGAAATGACGACATGCTTTTAATATTGCGGCAATAAAGGATCGATCTGTAATTCTACGAATACCTAACACTCTATAAGAACAGTTTCGTGCGTTGCCATTGACGCAGTCCCAAGCTAGGGTCATACGTATTATATCACGCATGTAGCACAGTGTTTCAAATATACTAACAGGATGGAAACTTCCAGTACATTTTCAAAGCCTTGCTATGGAGACGACTGGGTGGGCAGTAGAAAATAAATTTTGCATGCTTTGTGTATTAGTCCTTAGGAGCCCGCCAGCATATTTACGAAATCCTTAAAATGACGAAAATAATTTCATACCAGCCTGTTTTTTGGTTATATGGTCCTTTGTTTTGCTATTTATTTGTAAACTGACATTATATATATATATATATATATATATATATGTATATATATACATATGTATGTATGTCATGACACATAGCGAAAAGCATACAGTTTTCCTATTTCTTTTAAGATTATTCCAAATAATTTGTATGAGGGCTTTGGGTTCAGGATGCCTGCTAAGCATAGCTTGTTGCATATACCCTGGAGTCCACCACCCAACTTGTGCCGCCAAATTCAACGGGTAATTTTGTATTCGCCCTTTTGGCAGACAGGAATGAGGAGTGTTTTATAGGCCACACAATGTTGGGGCACGGCCACCCGGGGCCTGGGTTGATTCCCGGTGTCAGGTTACCAACTGGCATTTTCATTTTACCGGGGCCAAACAATGTTCCGGCTCTGAGACTCGTGCCCAGCGCCGCTGGATTACGAGTCCTACATCCTTCTCCTAGACCACGGAGACGACACTTGTGCTTGCATACCAGCGACTGATAGCGGGAGGTTACAAACCGCCAGCCACGGCAGCGGCTTATTGCTTTGAATACACCGGTCCGCAATTTGTTTCTTTTATAAATGAAATAAAGGGCACGGGCTATGTCCCGTTCTGGGAAGACCATTGACATGGCCAGCCATGCGCTGGAAAAATCTGTATTATCGGGTGATGGTGAAACGTGGAGAGTTTGTGTTTGACCAATATTGCAGCGGTGCTTTATAGTTTGGGTTATCCCGTGGCTAAAACACGGGTTATGACCATAAGTGCAAAACAAAAGGCGTTTACGACAAACTGCATATGTGGTGGCCTTGAATTACATGTATCGAATTGGTGGCATAAGAACGTTGTCTTCATCTTACGCCTATCCACACATTACTGCGTATGTAAGTAGGCCATAGACAAAAGAATGCCGTTGTCTAACATTGACATGGAGGAGCTAACGGTACAAGGCGCCCATCCTTTATTAAAGGCAATTAAAATTACCTAGGCCGCAGCCGCGCCCACAACGCAAAATTCTTCGCAGCGAGATTCTCGTTTCCAAACACCATCCTAAACTCCGACCCATATGATTTGGAAGTCAACCTGTGGCACAAACATCATGCTTGGCGTTGGTTATTACAACGGTGTAAGTCATTTTCCGTCAGCTCAAAACTACGACCTCCAATGACCTTCCGAGCACGGGGATCCAGAATCCCCATAATTGGAGCGTAACTTGCGCATGGGTGTGTTCGCCACCAAAAGGTCAATCCATCACTTGCCATTGATTTGAAACACTTCGATCTGACAACAGCCGATGCATCTTACCTACAGGTAAGGTAGGCATTTTTATATCTTGGTAAGATGGCGTACTTTTTTGTTTATTAGTTCTTGCTTGACCTTTAAGAGTGCTTAACTTTCTGCTACATGTCCAACGATTTTCGGTGACATTGAGCACGACGCGCTACCTAAAATGGGCACATCATATACAACAGCCACATAAACCAGTAAAACATGCGGACGCGCCCGGCGGTTGCAGCCCCTAGCTCAGGCCACTGGCAGCTGCGGCACCGCGCATGTTGCTCTGCCTCCACTTGTTGAGCACCACCAGACGCCCGTGCGCTCGGTGTCAAGGTCATCAGCATGCCTCTCTGTAGTCGTGTTACCACGCCGCCCGCGTGGCCACCCTTGCTACCGCCGCTTGTCAACGTGCTCCCGCAGTCACCATACGCCACCGCCGGTTCAATGCCCCGTCCTTAGCTCTCAGCACCAGCCGCGACGTTGTACGGTATTCACAGGACCCAGGTGCTGACCTCATCGCCGTGCTAATTCGGCGTCCCTAAGCTGAAGAATGTCGGTGCTGCCGCAGTCACCATCCACCAGACAGGCTTCCAATGCCGAAATATCCACCATCATCTGTTTCCTCGCCAATTTCCCCGCGATGTAGCTGCCACAGGCCGAGCATCTGGCTTGGCTCCTGTCCCGGCGCTGACCGGCACGAGTCATCAGCGTCGCGGCTCGGTGCACTCGACACCCCTCTCCTCCGCCCTCCCGCACAGCTCGGCGCCCTGTCCGCGCCGGCTCCGGCGCCGGTGTCGGGCCGTTTGACCGGAGGCAGTCGGCGGTCGGAGCCAACCGCAGCTGTCAGCGGCCGTCGACTTGGCGGCCGCGCCGTCGACGGCCGGGGCGCGGCGCTATCGACGGTGTGTCATGTCGGACAAACAGCGGGATCTTGTACAAGGGCTGGGCGGTCTCCGCTGGTGAGGTCAGTCGGAGAGTCACCCCCCGTCCTCCTCCTCACCCCCTGTCACCGGGTGTCGTCATGGCGGCCTTCCTTCGCCCCTGGCGCCTGTGCCCACTGATGGACAGAGCAGCCACCGCTCTATTCCGTCGCCCAGTGAAGAGTCTCGGCATTGGCGGGCCGCCGTCAGAGGCGGGTGGACAGGCGGCGTATAGTCTTCGTCAGTCAGGGACCGCCCTCAGTCTCGCCTGCATGGCACCCTTGAACGCTTTCTCAGGCGGTCGACTGTCAGCGTGCATGACAGCCGTCACGTGCTGACTGTCGGTCTCAGATGACAGTCGACGTCAGCGGCTGTTTGTGGCAGTCTGCTGACGCCAGTGGTAGCCGATAGGTGACGCCGGCGATGACGCCAGTGCCAGCCGATAAAGTGCGTCAGTGGCGGCAAACATGAGCTCAGCATCTTAGCTCTGGCACGGGTTACTTACACTTTACATTAGTTTTGGCGTTTGCACAGCACGAAAACGGTGATTCAAACACTTTAGGCGGTATGATCGTTATACCAACTTCAGGAAACACTCCACCTGCACGGAATTTCTGTGTGCACGAAGCTGGCCAAAGCACTCTGCTATATCTGGCGGTGAGTTAGTAAACGCCAATTTCAAATACCTGGAGAATAATTGCGTTGATCCTGTTTGTCTCGGGATCATTCGCTCGATGACGTACATTCCCGAACACTTTCCTAGGACGCATCCCGCCGTCACGCTGTGGACACGGGCCCTCAGAGGCCATTGTACGTGGGCAGTGATGGACATCACTCGGCCTGGCACCGGCGCCATCGCTTGGGCACGGCCGCGTCCCTCTCGACTCGCGCCGTCACTCGTGTTCGGACGAGGGCATCGTTCGCCGTCGCGAACAGGCCCGTCGATCCGTCGGACACGGCGTGTCAGCGCCGCCCGGCCATCGAGGCCGCTGGGGTGTGCCGAGGCTGATCGGTAAACAGGGCGCCGCACCGCCGACCGAAGATGTTTTTCCCGGGCGCGAAATCGGTTTGTGAAAATAATCGGCGGCGGCACCGGCCGCGCGGCCGGCTGGAGGCTCGCTCAGGCGTCTCACTCGTCAAGCCACTTCCGTACACAACCAGTCGGAGTCATGACTCAGACGGCGGCGCGCCCGCCAGCCGATCATCACGCGGCTAAAAACAGGCCGCTCTCGGACGGAGGTGACGCGGCGGCGGCGGCGGGCCCGCCCCTTCTCGGGCCCATAACGCGCGGCGCCGCCGTCGCGCGTTTCATTTGGCCCGGCGGCGGCGAGTCGTAAATCATCGCCGGGATCCGGGCGGCCGCGCCGGGACCACGTCCGCTGCCGGCCGACACCGGCGCCGGCGTCGGCGCACCCCTGTCCGCCGTGACGAGGCGCTGGCCGGCCCGAGCGGCCCTGCCATTACCTGCATAAACACCGGGCCCAGCGTCGACCCGATCAAGTGAATCACGCGCGCCGCACAAATCCCGCCGGCAGTTAATCACGCGCCCGAACAGCGCAACGGAGCCTCATTGCGCAATGGTTGGGACGATGGGGCGCGGGGGGAGACGGTAGCCGATCGCGAGATGGCCCGATAAATCAGACGAGGCCACGATCGTGACGTCTCGGTTTCGCCGCGTCCCGAGCTATCAGTGGCCATCGAGGGTTATCAAATTTTATCTGCCGCGACCTGACCGCTCCCGTCTGGAAGTCGTGACCTCGCCGGATTCCGCACAGTGCGGTGGATTGGATGGCAAAGCCACTGGCGGCGGCGGGGTTGAACAGCTCTCTCATCCTAAAGTCAGCGGAAGTTTCTGTCATTATATCTCGGAACGCGGCGTGAAGTGCCTTATAATGTCGGGGGCCAGCCACCGAGCCCAGCTGTGGTATGTTCCCACGGCAAGTGTGACAGCGCCTGACGCTGGGTGGAGTCCACTGACGGACCAGACGCTGACTGGGCGTCGATGGACATTCCGTGTCCTGCACCAGCTGCAGCGGGTCGCTCCGCTTCTGAAAAGTCGCCGGTGCCGTGTTCGATGTCAGTGGGCTGCAAGCAGCTGTCCGCTGCGGCTTGTGATCCAGCTGGACTTGTTGGCATTGTGCTTCACGGACGGGACATGGCTGAGCCAACCGGCAGCCCGATCACAAGCAGCATATGGGTATACAATTCCGACATATTGGTATATGTGTATGCCAGTTTGTGGCTCACTTTAAAGAGGTCGTTCTTCGCTGTCACTCACCCGATAATGCGTACATTGCTATGCATGCGGCAACGAATAATTTGAGCTTGGAGCCACAGCAGGCAGCCAGAAATGTACAGAACGGACGTCGCTGGTTTCACCAGCCGCATGCGCCAATTCTCGAATATGAAACGAGGACTGTAGCTTATCCATCAGCCGGCACGTCCATGTCTTTGTTTATGCCCGTGACAAACACAGCTGAACATGCTGGATATTGATCGCATTCTCGAGAATCACCGCTTGTACACTAGTGCCCTGTCACAGCGAGATGACATTACGATGCAGACATTGCATCAGCATTACGGGCAGCGATGTAGCACAGCATCTCATGCATTCGATCACACCAGCTGTAGGTTAATCGGAAGATCAAACAGGTTCGACTAAAAATGACGTCCAAGCTTATGTTCCTGAAGATGTCTCTGCCGACGGCTGACGATAATACGTCACCTACATTGCTCGATTTTCATGTCCAGCGCAGTTAAGCATTAAAGAAGTTATGTCATGTTGCGATGCGAGTTCCTGTAGTCGTGTTGCGTCTGTCCCGGGTGTTTTGACACTGTGTGCCACCGGTAAGTGTTTCTGGTTTTCCAGGGGTCCATCCAGTCTTGAGACTGCGGTGGGACGCACACCGGGATATCTCGGTGTACGGCTGGAGCGCTGATACCCGAGCTGAAGCACTTCCAGCGGAAGACACAACCAACTCCAGCGCAAGAGCATCATGAGCCGACAAACGAACATGACCCGCGCAGTTCTGACGCTGTTCCTCTTCGGTGAGTACTCCAGTGTATGACGTAGGTGATGTGGGTTGAACTTCAGCCGCGATGAGCCCTTCGGTTGCCTTTTGCTGAAACCTTTCTAAATTTGCTGAAACCTTTCTAAATTTGCATGGGAATGTCAAGGCCTAAAAATCAAAACATAAACGACACTCTGCGTGGGGGCTTTAAAACTTGCATATCTCTCCTCTTTTCGTGCACCTCCGACACCTGAACGTAGGTTAGAGCCAGCAAAGAGCAAATCGAATTGAAAAATGTCGCCTCATGCCGCCATAAATCAGGTGGTTTGCGATACGTAATAAGCACCATTTTCCTGGTTTTCACTGTCCATCACCTTAAATGCACAACTAGCCAAGCGCATCATTGCGACCGAAATCGGTCAGTTGGTCCCAGCTGTGAGCGCTGCAGCTCACCGGCTGCTACAGCTCCCCCGGCTGCATCCCCCGGCGGCTGCAGCTCCCCGGCTGCTGCAGCTCCTCGGCTGCTGCAGCTCCCGGCTGCTGCAGCTCCCCGGCTGCTGCAGCTCCCCGGCGGCTGCAACTCCCCGGCGGCTGCAGTTTCCCAGCGGCTGCAGCTCCCCGGCTGCTGCAGCTCCCCGGCTGCTGCAGCTCCCCGGCGGCTGCAGCTCCCCGGCGGCTGCAGTTTCCCAGCGGCTGCAGCTCCTCGGCTGCTGCAGCTCCCCGGCGGCTGCAGCTCCCCGGCTGCTGAAGCTCCCTGGATGCTGCAGCTCCCCGGCGCCGCCGCGGCCAGGTCCGCAGCCGCCGTCGAGCGCGCCTGCTGCGGGCGGGTCTCCGACGGCTGTGGCGGGCGCCACCCACTCCCGGCAGCGCCGTCACCACTCAGGCCAGCCGTCGCCGTCTGCCGGCGCGCGGCTAGCCTGTCGCTGAGGTCACCGCGCCGGCGACACAATGGCAGGACCAGCCGGCTGCAGCGGCGCCAGCGCCGGCCGCTGCAGCCGGGCGCGGTCTCCAGGAGGCCGCTCCTCGGCCCCGTCCCTGGGCCGGCCGCGACCTGGCATCCTTTGGCGGCCTTGACCAGCGCACCCAGGTCTAGTCTGGGTGGCTGGTTCCAGCGCGTATCTCTGAGCAGAAGCCCGCCGAACCAGGCGCACTCACTGCTTTCTACGCTTGGCTTTGGTACACTTTGGCGGCTTCGTCGTTCTCGGTGCCTTTTCATTCATTTGTCGATTTGTAGAGCACTGGAACGGATATGAGCTCGGAGCTTTCCGGAAGGTAGTGGCTTGTTGTCATTATAACTGCTTCTTCGAAGCAATGACAGTCTGCTTTATTCTTGCCAGCCTGCTGAAAAGTGGATGGCAATCACCCCTTCTCCTGCCTCGAGCTACCGTGTCCTTGCAGTGATAACACTGCCGAACTTGCGTCATGTCAGCATTGTCCTCTTGCGTGCAGTTCCCAGCAGCGCTTTCTGCGGTTGTCTGCACGCGCCGGCACGTTGTTGCCAACGGCCACCTCTTCCCCATTCACCCATTGACCCGAGGACACCATCGGCGCACGGGGAGCCATGACCTCTGCCTTGGCTATCCGCCCAGACGAGCGCCTGCCTCTGCCGCCTGGTCGCCGCTCCGCCTTGGACCGCTGATGATCTCAGTACTCTCAACCCGGGCCTGGCCTCATGGTGTTGGTGAGGCTCGGTGGCCGTCGTCAACGAGATTTAGCGGGGCACAGAGAGGCAGATCGCTGCGAAATTGATCAGTGTGACCCCGCGTGCCGGTCCGATTTGATATAAAGCTTGACCCGGCTATTCAGGGCTGGCCGTCGACGGACAGCTGCCGGTGCGACACGAAGGCCAGCGGGGGGCGTTGCCACACAACTCACACCCGACTGCTGACAGCCATCCTATTAGCGTGCAGCGTGGGGCCGCGCTGGTCGTGGAGGTCGCGCCGCCCCGGCGCAGGGCGGCGGCAGCGGCGGCGGCGGGCGGCCCCGATCTCCCCCGGGCGCCACCGGCCTCCCCGGCCGATGCCGAGCACGTGCCGCTGCCGGACGCCAGTCCAGCGCCGCCGCCGCCGGCGTATTGATGAATGGGTACACGTGCGACCCTGCCAAGCGACACCTGCGGCGTTCTGAGTCAGCGGCGCCGGCCGTGACTAACGGGGGCGCTGCTGGTGACGTCGTCGGTGACCAACCGACGCTCCGGCTCGGCCGCTGAGGCGCCCCGGCTCGGCCGCGCCCGCCCCCGTGAGCCACGTCTCGAGGCGCTGAGTTCATGGCTGGAGCGCCGCGTGTTGTTTCGGTTGGATTCAGGCTCGTGGGCTGTGACAGTGTGGTGTATGGCTGTGGGGTGTGAAGCGGAAGAAAGAGAGCGACGTCCGAATTTTGACACAACGGAGGGTTGAAGTAGGCCAGCTTGAATACTGCATTGTATTTAATACAGTGCAAGTGTTATTTGTTTGGTATATCATCACGAAAATCTCACGCAAAGAGCAGAACGATACAAACGATAACGACGTCTACTCTGTGGAAAATAAATTTCCAATTTCGAAATCCAGTTCAGTGCTGTCAGAACTCAGCCTGACCCCACCTAACACAGCTTTATCTCACGTTGTACAATGAAGCGTAATGATTACCATACCAAGGCTTTTCTGCTATCCCAGTTTCCGCTTGGTGAAAACGTGCCTTCATTGGCCAGGAAATAGATGCGTCTCAGGATGAATGTTGATGAGGGCTTGCAGAGATCGATCAAGACGGTGCTCTCGGTCTTCGCCATGTAACTTAGTCTTTGCAGCGTCTCAATCTTGTTTATCTCGACGAGCCAATTAATCATTTTCTGTCAGCAATCTGCTGCAGGCCCTGCACCACCACCTGTGCGAATACTTATCAGAATCTCACCGCCGACAGACTCTTCAACATCGGGAACCCACCAGCGGGCAATCAATACCCTCTCCCATTTTGGTCACCGCAAGTCGACGGCGCGGCGAGACAAGTCCAGCACTGCTGCCCACGCTGAGGGGGCCGGGCACTTCTGCCTGCTAAATCAGCGTTAACCTGGCGTGTAAGGCTGGCAGATGGCGGCGCGCCGCGACAGCCTGATCGCATCGCTCTGTAAATCGCCCGATCAGAGCGGCTCGGTCGAGCCCGATCGGCCGCAAACCCGCCGCTGCACGCCAGGCGCGGCCGCGGCCGGCCCGCGGCGCCGAGTTTTCTCCTGCGTTATCGGCGCTGCAGTGAGCGAGCGTGTCGCCCTTTTCGGCACACACGCGCGAGCGGCCGCGGCTGCGCCGGTCGGGGCGTTCACGGGCGGCCGATACCGGCAGTAAATGGGCGCCCCGGCGGCGGCGGTGGGCGGCGGCGCGGCCCTCGGCCACCGCTGCCACTGGCGCGCAGCTCTCCCACATCTGTCACTCACCGAACGGAGCCGTCCCACACTGGTCACGAGCCGCACTCGGCCGGCCCACGCAGTCAGGCGTCACGCGCCGCGCAGCGCGAACACGGACACGACACGACCGCGGACGCAATCACGCACGCACCTGCATTTCACTTATACGCACACGCACGCACGCACGCACTCGCAGGTGCATTCGCGCGCACACCGATAAACATGAGAATCGTTCACACCCGTCACTCGCCGCAAATGCACCATTCCGCACCTGTCACACGCCTGCCATTTAGCTTTCAGTTGCGGTCACTCGCACGCCATCCCAACTGTGCGTGATGTACTTGACGAGGTGCTAATGAGGTTTCGGGTTCGTTCACATAACCTGCTAGTTCCTTTGCTACTGAGAAGCATCACATTGTCTTTCTGAACGTCATTTCCTTACTGGTCGGTTCCACTTAACCTGCTTTGTCACCCTATTCGTTTATCTATGCGTAAATGCTATTTCCTTACGACACATCCCGTTTGATTTAGCTCTCTATGAACCAAGATACCTCGCTTTCCGATCGTTATGCAGGAGGCGTTAACACTTGCCCAGCGGGTGAGGGATTGCCTGCCCATGACTGGGTCACGTATGTGGGTGGCCGGGTCAAGTTTGTGATTCTAGCCTTGCATGATGTCACGACTACAGGGGATTGCGGAGCGTCAGTGAGCGTCAGGGTCACGCTGTTGAATAATGTTTAATGATTGGGTCACATTTTTGAGTGTCTGTGCACGATATAGACGTCGTGGGCAAAATTTTTATGGACCATGCATGAACGAGTCATGTCAGTGACCGGCTGAGTGATTGGGTCACTTTTAAGAGCGTCAGTGTCATGTTTTCTCGAGTGACCGCGTTACGTTCGTAAGTGACTGGATGACCTTTTGTGAGTGGCACTAAGCCACATCCGTAAGTGACCGCGTCACGTATGTGAGTGACCTCACATGACCGGGTCACGCAGTGAACAGCCGCGCCCAGTACCGTCCGACCCGTCTGATGGATCACGCTGAGATGGGAGCGCTCAATTGGAGCCTGCCGGCCGGCGGCACCTCCTCCCCGCCGGCTTACCTCCGCCCAGCCGGGCACGAGCCGGGGCTGATAGCTTTGAGCCCAGGCGGCCCGAGACCGGGCCACCACCTGCCCGTCTTGGACGGCGGAGTCCCGCGCGCCAACGCCGCCAGAGGGGGCCAACAGCAACGAGAGCTGTTGACGGAGTCAGACGGACCCGGTGTGCCCTCCGTACTCGCGTCACTTGGCGCAACACACGGACGTTACTTTACGTAGCACGTTACAGGCATGTAAAACAAATGCGAAAGAAAGGCACAGGGCAAGGCATGACCATGCTGCTCTGCAATTGCGCAATTCACAAAGAGCTCTCCGAGAGCGATCCAGCTTAAGCGTCATCGCCATGGCGGGCGGCGCAACTCACCGCATGCAGTGGTCCCGGGTCGATATCTCAGCATCTAGGGATTAGCACCGTGCATGGAGCCTACCGACGCCCGCATGCACGCCGTGGTACCAGCAATAATTCTGAGCCGCAGTTAAAACTGCACGGTAGGCAGCATGTGCCGAGGACAACATAAGATCAATTCGGAAGCTCGATCGTAGGGTGCAGGCCTTACAG